AAAGGAGAGCTGAATGGGGCTGAATGTTTTGATGCAAGATTTAATCAGGATGAAATATCTAGCCTTCAATTTTCGTTGTTTGTAACGCATAAACATTTTTCCAATCTTACCAATTCTAAAATAAAGAGAACCTACAATGTGCTGCACCCACCTCAATTTTGAAGTCAAAATTTAATAAGGCTTGCTCTGTATTAGGAAAGTGGTGTTCAGGATTCACATCATGTGGGAGATAATATACCTCAAGTGGAATGTGTGAAGTGCAAAGTCATGATGCCTGTTACAGCCATTAAACAGCACATGCTTGCCTGCCCTGCAGATGACTTACATGACATCCCCTTGGAGGTGCCATCTACATCTAGTCAGGTACAGTTTAGTCGTTACACAATGTGTTTTTGAGTGGAAGAATGTAGGTGTTCTGAGTATTGTAACATCCTCAACCTAGCGGCTAAGGTAAATGTTTCAGGTGCCGAAATTCTAGAATAGTTTACATCGTAATGATATTAAGAAATTAGTGGTGTATTAATAATTGAATTATATTTCCATTTTTAGTAGGAAAATTTTTTTTTCTCAATGCACTTTTATTTACAGGATTAATGCTTACACTACTTACAGCGCTTCTATTATACTTACAAATTTACTATGCTATACTTCTTACACTACTTATACTTAACACACCACTTACTTAGCAGGATGATCTTGAAGACCAGTGTTACTTCCATCAATGGCCAATACTACCTCACAGGATAAATTGCCTTCTGAGAGCAATCAAGATTTTCTCCAGGTATTTCCACTTCAAGTTTAAAAACATTGTTTCCCGTACAATTGCAAATGTGTTGACATCAACAATTAAAGAGATCGACAATTTTTGTTTTCTCTTCAGATATTTGAATGGACCATTACAATTTATTTGAGTAACATAAAATAATGATTATGTTAAATGTTGTGACTGACCCTCATACTACGTTAAATGTCAATAACGCAGTAATTTTTATTTTGTAATTCAGTGATGCAGGTTTTGAAATCTAGCATAACAATCATTACCACTTGTCTATCAGATGTAAATGTTTTAAAAGTAGTAAGTCATTCAATCAGTCAGCCAGTAAGTGAACAATTTATGTAGTAAAGGTGACACTAAATTATAGCAAAAAGGTAATAAATAGGTGAACGATACTGCTGCTGTTGGATTATGGAATGAAGGATATTACTTCATAGGTTTCCGTAAGAAGTACTAATTTTTATCCTAGTGACAAATGTGGCTGGTAGTTCTTCAATGGTATTCCTGCAGAATATGGATGCCCTTACTATTTTAATATTTTTGTAGGAATCTGATGCTGTGGCTGAATTAAGTGCACTTTTTCCAGACAAAAGTATAGACACTATCCGAGCAATCTTGGCAGACAGTGGAGGAGATAAAAGTGTGGCTGCATCAAGGCTTATCCAGTGGTCTGCTGGGACATGTAAGCTACCTATACAAGTTTATTACTTAAATGTGAATAATGGTAGATCTCTGAACTTTACCTGTCTGTGATGTTATTACAACAAAGCAGAGGTCCTTGGTATTGTGTAGTGGTAAGGTTGCGTGCATTTTTTGCTCCAACATAATTATTTTTCTGATTACCATGGAACCCTTCATTGGAGACAGTTATACTTATCTGTTCTTTCATTTGGTTTTGAAATTGTTATTTCATTTCATTTGAAATAAGAGCCCTTCATTCGATTTAGAGGTGCATACTTATAACATGACCTAAGCTTTACAGAGTCTCATAACAGATAATTTACTGAACTCCCCTTTTTGCAATTTCTTCTGCAAGGTGCCCTAATGAACAGTGGGGACTCAGGTAATGAATACTGTACAGAAGAAGACAGTGACCTCATGCAATCACCATTTGAAGCACATGTATCCTCAAGTACTGTCAGTACCTGTACTGACCCTGTTGCACAGTACAAACAAGAAACTCTGGATGAAAATGGCCCACCACTGAGAATCTATGTAAATCGGATGACGGAGGAGTTCACTGCAGATGTTTTATCCATTTATAAGAAAGCCAACCCATGTTTTCGCTCAAACCTTCGAGTGCAATTTGAAAATGAAAGAGCAGTTGGCGAGGGACCTGTCAGAGAGTTCTTTAGCATATTAATGGGATTTGTTCAAAATGGTCTTTACGTGGATGATCCTGGGCGGCTGACTATGTTATTTGAGGGCCAGACTGACCACAAAATTCCAGTCCCAAATGCGTTACTGTGTAATTCTGGACTGTACACTAGTGTTGGACGGATGATTGCACATTCTTTTTTGCATGGAGGACCCCACTTTATGGACTTTCCCCAGCAGTGCTTGAATTTTGGACTCGTGAAAGCATCAGTGAAGCTGTTACCATGGAGGACATCCCAGATTATGACCTTCGACAAGCCTTGAAGCAGGTACTCGCATTGATGATCTTGTTTTGTACAGACATTACTTACGTATTTCTGTGTAATGTTTCAGCAACATGTTAGTGTTACTAACAATATTTATTCTGGTTAATTTTTGTTTGATATGGCACTTGTACTGTCCTGTTTATATTTGAAAAAAAGGAACAAGTGTGTTCCAAATAGGTGTATACATCTATAATGACACTATAAGTTTATAATTTGTCGTAAGAAGCATTTCATTGTTCAGTCACAACACCATAGCAATTTAACGGTTTTGCAGTTATCAAGTCTTGATAAGGATGAAGAACCCTCAGATGCACTTAAAGAATTCCTCTTGCCTTATCGTGATGAAGCGTCAGTACTTCAAGTGCCGCTAAGGGGAGAGAAACGGCACTTGGTTCTCCAGCAGATAATGCTGCACAATGTGATCGAAAAGCGCCACCGTGAACTGAAAGATCTTGCTGCAGGAATGAATGAGCTTTCCCTTGTCAATTACCTAAAGGCACACAAGGAAATGGCCGCAGCCGTGTTTCCCAGGGAATGCGAGTCAGTAATTGACAAAGAAGAACTCAAGGGTAGGATTTCCATCGAGGATGAAACCACCCCCAAGGGCAAGTTATCATGGGATTCTTGCATCGCTTCATCGATGAAGTTAGCAGAGAAGCAGAAGGTAAGTGATTACCTCAGCTATGTCTACTATACGTTTTCTATTCTTCTTCCAGTACCTCTTCTTTCCCCAGTGAATTTAAGCCATTTATCCTTGAGCATTTCATTCCTCAAACACTGTATGGGGGATAGATAATTCCACTAGCAGGATTTTCATTGCTCGATGTAATTTCAGTTGTAGGGTAACAGTGATTAGCCACCTCGTGTCTTTACTGCTAAAGAAAAGTAAACATTCCGAGCATGTAAAAGTGAAAGCATTGAAAAGTTATATTTGCCATTACGAATATTGTTGCCTAGGAGGAATTTCATGTTCAGATGCTTTATAGTGATGCCTTTGTTATGTTTTCTCATTGCAGCTGGTTCTGGTCTGCGTGATCTACTGTCGTTTTGGACAGGATGGGAGGTTTTGCCACCATATGGACAGCAACTTTGGCTACAGCTGGATGACACACGGGAAGTAACAAGCCTGCCTGAAAGTAAAGCTTGTTTTCACAGGCTTGTTCTTCAGTCATCGCATACTGACTACGTCTCTTTCAAGAGTAACCTTGCTAAAGCATTAAAATATGGTGCAAGGGGCTATTCATCTCTTTAAATGGGCATGATAGGTTACTTAAAACGGGTTTCGACAAAACACTGACCCCCCTACTGACCCCCTATAAAATCAATGGGAAAATGAATACTGCTGACTTAAGTCTCAAAAACCCTTTTTAAACAGCATTGTTCAGCAATATTTAAGTCTAAGCACCCATTTTAAAAAGGTTAGCTTACATGAAGTAATCGGCCATCACAACAATAATCGAAAACTAACCTTTTTAAAATGGGTGCTTCGACTTAAATACTGTTGAACAATGCTGTTTAAAAGGGATGTTGAGGCTTAAGTAAGCAGTATTCATTTTCCCATTGATTTTTTGTAGGGGGTCAGTAGGGGGTCAGTTGACCGGGGGTCAGTGTTTTGTCGAAACCCACTTAAAACATCACAGACTCAGGGAAGAGTAGAAAGTCAGAACCTTTTCTTGTAGTTTTTTATTGAAGTTACACCTCTGTCACTGTTCTGTTACTGTTGTTTTTTCACCCATGCATATTTTGCATGCTATCTCGAAAATGTTTTTTTGCTTTACAGGCTTATTCTTCAGTTAGTGCATGCTGACTATGTCCCTTTAAAGAGTAACCTGACTAAAGAGTTCAAATAATTCTGATGCAAGGGCATTTCCATGATAGGTTAACTTCTAACATGTCAGACTCAGGGAGGAGCAAAAATAAAAACTCCTTTCCTTGTTTTATTAACAGTGAATATTTTTTAATGACGTTACACTTCTGTTACCGTTCAGTTATTGTTGATTTGCACCTATGCATATTTTGCATGCTATCTCAAAAATGTTTCAAGCAATATTTGTAGCAACATGACGATCACATGATTTAATTAAAAGTTGAGTTGTAGCTTGACCCTAATGATTTTGATTAGGAATCTGTTGGCTATAGAGGTTTTGCACGGCAGCCATGTTGTATGGCAGGAACAATAGATTCTTTTTCCTATGGGGAAAATTGTTCTTTGTAATGCAAAACATTTTCATTGTCCCTGCCATGCAACATGACCGCCGTGCAAAACCTCTTTTAGTGAGTTGTTCAGTTTAGCGAATAAAAGTAGGAAAGAAAGCTGTTGAACACCTTACGTTTAAGCACATCAACACTATATCATGTTTTGAATGAGCGTGATTGTTTCCAGGTATATGTCCACGCCATGGACATCTGAGATGCTCAATGGACCAATAGTAGCTGATAGTAATTGCCATGTTTCGTTTACTAGTGGACATTCTGTAGAAGGCACTTCAACAGTTCCTACATCATCATTAATTGGACCGTCCCATTCCTCGGAAGGTGCAGGTCCATCCAGATCAATGCCATATGCATCAATTTCACTCTGA